TTTTTATCCCAAATGTATTTTGTGTAAATATAAAGTGGTCACTTTCACTTACACTTTATTACATATAACAGATTAAATTATTCCCAAATATTTAACGCTGTTTACATATTTTTCAATTCCCTTAGAATTTTTTTAACAAATTTGATTCAAACACTTAGGCAATATTTTAAATTTAATGAACCAAGTGCCTAAACAGCTCTTGCAAATCAAATAAATTAATTTCCTTTTTAAATTAAGCAAATCAAGTTCTCAAGAATTTCAATCATCTTAAAAATAAACAGCATACACAAAACTACCTGATTATAAGGCATGCTACCATACTTGCATAAATACAGTCATGCGCTGCATAACAATGTGTTGGTTATCGATGGCCACATATGCGATGGTGGTCCTGTTAGATTATTTTAATAATATTGTATTTTTACCGTATTATGTGTAGGTACACAAATACCATTGTGTTACAGTTGCTTGTAGTATTCAGTATAGTGATATGCTATACATGTTTGTAGCCTAGGAGCAATAGACTACACCATATAGCATAGACGTGTAGTGGGCTACACCGTCTACCATCTGTCTAGGTTTGTGTAAATGTACTCTATGATGTTCAGACAGTGACACGAAATCCCCTAATGATGCAGTTCTCAGAATGTATCCATGTTGTTGAGCAACACATGTACAAGATTCTTGCATAAATACAGTATCAATATAGTAATTATTTTCACCATGTCTAAATATATACCTTCCCACTGTTACACGTTAGCTCATAAGAGGGTTGTCTCAGGCTACCAAAGTTTACCTCTTTGTAACTTGAGACCAAGAGATGGGTGCCAATTAAGTTTCAGATTTTTGCAACCTAGTATTTTCCCTGAAAACAAGATACCAGTTAAGTCTTATTGTTATATTTCATCTAAACTTGTGATAATAGAACATTCCAAGTTCTGTGTTATGACTAAAATGTAACCTTAATTAATTAAAATGAATCCCTCACCTGGGTTGCAATTTTACTTCCCTTTCTATTTCTTAATTCTTATAAATGTCATTAATAACAATATTACAGTCATTTTGCTGACAGAATGATACCATTATTGTTTTAGATCACCTTATCTAATTGTTATTCGTTAATATATCTTTATCACATAATTGTGGGAAAAGGTATCAAGCTCTAGTTCTCTTGTTGATGTATTGACTAGTAATTTCTTTGGCCAAATTATACTATTGATAATATTATGTAATTATAATATAGTTGATATTTGTTTTCTGTTCCTGCATTCTGATATTCATAGTCGTGCCTAGGAGCTACTCTTTTGGGATGTGTTTTTGTAACTATGTGTAACCTCGAACACTTAAACTCAATGTAAGCAAGAAAACTGTATCTATACTTTACTAGAACA